AGTAAATGAATGGAAAAACAATGAGCAAGCGTGTCACACCCTTGACTGGTCTCTGCCCATGAGACCCTTTCAAAGAACAGGAGTGGGGATTGTGAGCTTGTGAGTTGGTTTCCAGAGCTGCTGCAGATCTTAGGATATTCCAGAGGCTCAGCTGATCTTGTAGACATCATTTGCAAGTCTCCGTTCTCCAGGGGGCCATTTTCTCCCTGGTTCTTGGGTGCCCTTTGCCACCTCCCATCCATGCCACACTCTCCCCACAGCTCTCCCCAGGAGGTGTCAGTCACCCTGTGGGTTTCTGGTGGGGGTGATCTTGAGTTTCCGGGAGCTCAGGATTAGTGACATGATATGGCCCAGTAGGCTTTGTCAGGCTCCTGGTGCCAATTGCATAAGAGCCTCACAGATAATGAGGCCAGTGTGACCTTCCAGGGACAGCCACCCCAGGGACACACTGCAGGTCCTTGCAGGTCCCACAATACTGGAAGGGATTGGGGGAATTTGCAGACGGTTGCAGCTTGGTTGATATTAGCACAATTCACATGAAAACTGGGGACAAAGGGCAACTTGTTGACCACTGTAGAAACAAAGGCTGTTTCTCAGAATGTGATTGCGAACTGGGGCAGCATTTATTGATCAACGCAATCCAAGTTAAATTGCTAAACAGTCTAAAACCCCATTAGCCAGCAACGCTCCATGGTGGGGCTGTCTCCTGCCCCCACACCCACACCCACATACCTCTCTGCCCTGCCTCTGCTCCCTCAGACCCGCCTTCCAGCCCTGCCGCCAAGGTCAGATGGCAACTCCTGGGTGTGCTCAGCTGTGCCCCATGTATCTCTGTCACTCACTCGGTGGGAGTCCCACCGCCCTGCCCTGCTGACAGCACTGAGGACCAGCACTCACACATACGCCCGTACTCACACACTCACACATGCACTCACACACTCACACATATACTGACATACTCACACACACTCCCATATAAATCACACTCTCACACACACACACTTTTGCACTCACTCTCGCACGTACACTCTCACTCTACCCATTCATCACACTCACACTCACACACTCCCCAAACAGGTCCAACTTGTTTCATCCATTCTTTCCCCCTCCTTCAGGTGCCAAAAGAAGCACTGTTGTCACCCCCTGTCCCCAATGCCACCTCCTCGTGGAGTTATCAATTAGTCTTAAACCTTTCCTTGTTCAGGGCTCTCACCTCACACTTACAATCAGCACCCCCAGGCCTACAAAACCAAATACGTAGGACACGGTATTCCCACCCCCAGGCCGCCTGGCCTTCCTGCGCAGGAGGRGCTGGGCAGCCCTGGGGGTGTGGGGGCTTCAGGCTGGGGTGCAGGGTGCTTGTGTCCTGCTGCGCCCTTCTTAAGATTGAGGGAATATTGACTTTCCACATCGGAGGCCGCACTCGGCTCTGAGCCCCTGCCCAGCCCTCCCCTGTCCACAGCCAGACGCTGGCCTGCTTTCCCTTCCTCACCTCTTCATGCCATGCCTTATCCACATCCTTCAATTTAACCAACCCAGTTTTCAAGGCCTTCTGACATCCCGTGCCATTATTCACTCTCTGACCATGAGGGAGTGTCCGATTCCATCCAGGTCCTGTGCTGGGAGGACAGTCCGCTCTGTCCATCCAAGGCCCTCCACCTGGGCTGCGGAGACAAGACACAAGCTCGCTGGTGGGTACCACGTCTTGATCTCCCAAGACTTGGATCATGTCTTGACTCTTGAGTTATCAAGACACCACCTAGCACTTGGCACCAAGATGCTCAGCCACGTTGGTTAAACAAACTGGACGTTACGATTTGGGGAGGTGGGGCTTTCACTAGGGAGAATTCTTAGAAAATGCTACAGAGGTTTCTGAGTTGAGATTCGTCCTGTCTGGATGGCCAGGATGCCATGTCTGTGTGCAGGGTTATGACATTCCTAGGAATTTTAATAGCTCTAGAGGGGTCCCGGAGCTGGGAAGGGCAAGCTTCCTTCTGAGGGAGAGAGAGCAGTCTGCCCGTGAGAGCAGCTGGAAAGGAAGCAGGGAGCTGATTTTAGAGGGTTCTGGAATCCAGGAAAAGAACTCTGGTCTTCGCCCACCATGATAGCAGCAAAATGATATGACGGTGGCTTTTTCAGATGAGTAGATGGGTGGCCTGGTGGAGGTGGGGAGAGACTGCATTAATGAAACTGGCCAAAACAGTGGTGAGGGTAGTCCAGGCACAAAATGTTTAAAAACCCTAGCTCAGGGCGGCTAGGGTGGGTTTAGGCAAAGCAATACAGATTCGGATTTTTTTTTTTTTTTTTTTGAGTGACATTCTGCAATCTAAGTCACCTTGCTAGGCCTGAGTAGCACACGCCAGGTTTCTCTGATAATCTAATGAGACAAAGGGTGTGGAAGGGCTTTGGAAATGCTGAGGCTCAATGTAGACATGGGATCTAAAGTTGTTCATGCAAAGGAATGGGTCAAAGAGACACTGGACAGAATCACTCTGACATGCTGGCAGGATGTGAGAGGTGTGGAAGGAGAAGAATCAGAGACGCTGTCCTGAGGGGAATGGGGCAGGGGAGCACGTGAGAGCCAGAYGGCTCAGTGGCCCAGTGTCTAGAGCCTGGAACCAAATCCCAGCCTGGTCTCTTGCCAGCTGCGTGGTCTGGGAGAGCTACTGTCTGTCCCCTGCTTGCAGCCCAGACCATGCATCTGGCYACTGGACTGTGTGCCGCCTGATCTGGCGCTCACCTGTGGAGTGGGCACCTGTGGAGTGGGCCCCTAGGACACATCAAAGGCTCTAGATGCCTTCAATATGTCCTAGGGCTGTGTTCAGTGACGAGGCATGCCAGGGCCACCCCAACAGTAACCTCAGGATTAAATGGGCTGTTGCACATCCATGCAGATGCTGAACAGCATCCCAGGCCTGTGCCCTGGGTGTTCTGCCAAATAAGGGGTCACCTTGAAATGGCTGAGACAGACATGTGAGCTGAAGGGCAAATGGATTCGTGTTACAAACCCACACCAAAGGGGCATTTTTGGAGGATAGTACTTATTTGTAGGTAATGACAATGTTATATGGCAGCTATTGCACCCTCCAGGAAGAGTCAGGAACCAGTTTAAAAAAAAAAAAAAAAGACTGCTGTGTTTATGTGATGTTGAGTATAAATACCTCCTCTCTTACCAAGGCTAACATAAAATTAATTAACTAAGGTTAAATAGCCTCTGAAAAGAAAAAAAAAGTGTGTAATGAAAATACAAAAATGATAGCCATAAAAATTGTTGTGCTGCATAATAAAATGCACTATTGGCAAATAGTTGGCATAACTTACCTGATTAAAGCAAGAGCTGTAGGACAAGAATCCTCCAAGGCGAGAGCTTAAGGTAAAGCAACAGCGGAACATGGGTTCCACACTTGGCCGTACAGACAACCTCTTGGATTGTTGAAAATTCAGATTTCCAGGCCCCGGTCTGCTGAGCCTGAGTGTCCGTGGGTTTGCAGCTGGCCAGGAAGCTGCTGTTGGGGCGGGCTGTGGTCAGCATCCCTGCTGGGTCTTAATGAGGCTGGTGCATCTCAGTTTGCTACAGGAGGGACACGAGAGGATCTGGAGGAAGGCTGGGGAAGGGACACCCTAAGGGAAGCCCCATCCAAGGCACGTCTGTGGAGCAGCAAGGTGAGTCCCAGCCAGACAGCCCCCTGGGCCTGCAGGAGGACAGAATGAGGGTGGGCAGGACCTTTAGGACAGATACTTTAAAAGCCTCTGGGGAGTGATGGTTCCTGCTCAGCAGAAATAAGAACAGCCCAGTTTTATTTCTGCTTAACAAGACAGGATGCTATCAGACCTTWATCTACCTTCATGATTTTAATAGGTCAAACCTGACTTATGGGTCTCTATTTCAAGTGTTCTTATATGAGGGAGGTGTGTGGGCATCACCCCCAGGTCTTACTGAACATGAAGAATCCTGGGCCCAGCTCTGAGATGTGGGCACCCTCCAGATTCTGCCTGTTTACAAGCCTCCCCAAGATGTGCACAACAGGGGCCATGTGAGGGTCACACGTTGAAAGCACTGTCCTGTGGCCACAGGAAAGAGGAGAGACAGCAGGGACCCAACCAGGGCTCTGTATCAGCGAGCGTTGGGAATTGGTAACTGTCCCTTGATGGATCTGATCACCAGTTTCTAGAATGGAAGTTAAAAAAATTGTCAGCTCCAAAGTGTTCCCTCAGCACCAGGCACTTTACTGTACTTGCCTCACAAATCCCCTGTGAGGCAGGGGCCCTTCTTATTTACAGATGGAGGAAAGAGCTCAGGTGGCCCACAAATCACATAGCTAGTTGCTGGCTGAGCTGATAAGCAAATTTGGATGCCTGTGACCACCACGTGGGAGCCCCACCCTTGGCACCTTGCTACCCACTGGCCCAGCAGGCCTTGCCTGCCCCCAAGGTCCCTGAGGACCTCAAAGTCCTCCGAGAGGTGAAATGCAGGTCCAGGCGGCAGGTGAGGGCAGCAGTGTCTTTGGGAATAATGCACGGCGCCCTTGATGTGAGGCTGAGGACAGCAAAGCCAGAGCGAGCCCAGATCCACGCGACAGGTCCCAGGCTAAACCATCCAGGGCCCAGAGCTGGTGTTCTTGTCAGGGCAGGCGGGAGGGTCCAGCATGAAGTGCTTCTGAAAAGAGCAGAGCAAGGCCCTGTGACATCTCACCAGGCCGTGGTCTCAAGTGGTCCATGGACAATGCCACCCAAACAGGGGGACCCTATGGAGCTCTCGTGGGGTCCCTTGCTGCCCCTCACTAACAGTGAGACTCCAGGAGGCTGATGCCATGGTCACCTTGTTTCTTCCCGTGGTAAAACGGGGACAATGATGCCCACAGGCAGTTATGAAATTTAAGAAGATGTCCGTTGTCCAGGGCGTGGTCTAGCCAGAGCCAGCGGTGACGGGGAAGGTGGTGGGGAAGATGACTTCATTCACAAACACTCAGGTGGGGGYGGGGACTGCCTTTCTCCCCAAGACTGGCTTGTTGTGCAGCTCGTGGAAGGTTCTGGAAGGTGCTCTGGCCGAGTGGAGGTGTACTTYGAAGGCTTGTGGGGCACGGTGTGCGATGACCTGTGGGATGAGAAGGCAGCGCAGGTGGTGTGCCAGCAGCTGGGCTGCGGGACGGCCGTCTCCGCCCCTGGAGGGGCCTACTTTGGCCAGGGCTCTGGCCCCATTCTTCTGGACGATGTGCAGTGTTCTGGGACCGAGGCCCACCTGGGCCAGTGCTCCCATGCCGGCTGGTTTACCCACAACTGTGGGCACGGGGAGGACACTGGTGTCATCTGCTCCGGTAAATCGCTTTCCATCTTTCCTGAGAGTTGATTTTTTCTCTTTGTCCAGTATCATCCCCTGAGTCTCCTCCTTTCTCCCCAACACAAGAGAATGCCTTTGTGCCTCACCACGTCWGCTTGAGACCTCAGCTAGCTTCCCAAGAAAGCCGCTCCCAGGAAGCTTCCCTCTGTGGTGTTCAGGAAGCAGCTGGCCACCTGTGTCACCCCAGTCCTCTTCTGTCTGCTTGAGAAGCCAACTTCAGTTACTCCAGAGAAAACGCTAGATTTGAAATGAAAAGACCCAGGTCTACACGACAGGCTACATAATCTGTGGGTCCCAGTGCAAGATGAAAACGAGGGTCCCCTTGTTCAAGAATTATGAAGAATCTCAGGACAGTGACAGGGGAGCATTAATGGCAGGGCCCTTCCAATCGCAGACTCKGTGGGGCCACCCCCATGGGTATCCCTCTGCGGCCCTCCCCTAACCCCTCTTTTCCTTGCCTTAATGTGGCTCTTTGCAAATCACTCAGCCCTTTTCTRACCAAAAGGGAATGATTGTCACAACCATAATCACGTTGCCTTCCCCGGGCTGCCATGAGGCTGAGTACTGCTAATTCTGGTCCATTAACCTGTCAGTCCACAGCCTGAGAGCAGGCTGCCAGTGACCCTGTACCTGCGCCTTCTGCTTTTTGAGGTCATCAACCTCCTAGAGATGGCACAGCTGTGTCTCTGATTAGCTGACTTTGGATGAAGGCGCGGGGGCAGAGGCAGGAGGAAGAGGAGGGGGTAAAGGAGGAAGGCCCCTCTTTGCTCCCCAGCTGCTGACTCCTGTTGACAGCCTTCTTCTTGAGCCTCCCGAATTCAACATATAGGGAAGCAGGATCTGAGGCTTCAGCCAGTGGCCGAGACCTAAGCACTCAACCACTATATATTGCAAAAGGCTTTGAGATCTAACAGTGAGCAAAATGACATGACCCTGCTCTGGGCTTATAGCTCCCTCCCCATGCCAGCTCCCATTCCAAGCAGCAGACTCCCATCTTGGTGACTTCAGGGTCAGGAGCCCTGCCTGGCTGGGCCCTTTCCTACTGCAGACAGCACAGTTGTAGGAGCAGGCCCAGGGGGTGGAGGAGCGCTGCAGTCCATGAACCCTGCCTTCCCAAGGCCTCTCACCATCTTGCACCTTCAGCCCCTCCAGCCTCCTGGACCCCAGGCCCTGCCTTAGAGTTTGACTGTGCCACATACATCCMAAAACCCCTCCTGGTGTCCTCAGCCTTGCCTCACCTGGCTAAAGGTGCCCCAAGCAGCCTGGGCAGGCTCCAGAAGGAGGATCTGCCACTCTCCCAGCATCTCCTTGGGCCAGGCTCCCTGGAAGGAAACAGTCCAGTTAGCAAATTACTAATACATGTCTAACTTCAGAGGACGTGAGAGTATGTTCTGAGTATATTTTTGCAGTTAATAGATTAATCAGTTCTGGTATTTCTCAAACAGATGCCCCAAACAGCAGAGCCCAAGTTTGCTTGCCCTAAGCAGAGACTGTCTTTGAAATCCCATTATCTATAAAAGTCCCTTCGGAGTTTCTCTTTCAAATTGTAATAAAACCACATTTATTTTCATATGAAAACAATGCTTTAGGTACTCCCATCAAGTAGCATTAGCCCTTTAGGAAAGCACCTGCTTAGCCTGTGGGGCTTTCAGAATTATTTTTCCTCATCGACTCAAGTTACATTCCACTTTTTTTTTCTTTTTCGTAGAATATGAACATGAAACTTTGGAAGATTTTGGTAAGAGTCACACTTTAGTATGTCTTCAGCAGAGCACCCACACATGCCCCAGCGCTCTGTGTTAACCAACATAACCCACTGCAGGAGGCAGGGGAGGGGCAGGAGACAAACAATTGGATGTGATCAAAGGGACACGAGTCCTTTCGACCAATGAAAGGAAGAGCAGGGGATCCCCTGCCTTTAACCATGCAGTAGATATTTTCTCTCCCAACTGGTTTGTTCCTGTCCAACTGTATTTTAGAAAATTGCGAAGTGAGGATATGAATGTGGTTTAGTAAATTAACATTCAGAGATGTCATCGAACTCGGATTAGACTAAAGAAAATCCTGACTTCAGATAATGTGTTGGAAAGGCGGTGAGCGTGGCCTCGGGACACAGCATTCCTCTCTGTCCCTTTGGCAGATTCAGAGATTAATGGAGCAAAGTGTGTTCTTTTGTTMCCAGAGTCCCAGGCCAGAGGCTTGATTCTGAGAGTCCCAACAGATTAGGTCTGGCCATTGGCCCCCAAAACCAAAAGGAAGAAGTMCGGTGAAGAGCAGGAAGGGAACTTTAATCAGTATGGCTGTCCTGGAAGGCAAATTCAGATCAAGCATCTCAGCCCTGTCTTCGTGGCACTGATATGAACTTCAGGTTTACATAGAGGAAGAATTGGGGTGGGGTAAGAGATCTGAAAACTGAGAAGTCTTAGTCTGTGTCAATATCCCAGTTCAGGTTCTGCAAGGTGGCTCCAGAGAAGTCCTCCTCTGCACCCCTGAGGATGTAATCTCCCTTTGCTGCTCAGTGTGTTGAGCTATGAGACCTATGATCCCGAAGGGGACAGTTTAGTTCCCATGAGATGACTGCTTCTGTTTTGGAGGACAGTCTTATCCTGAGATGAGCTGCCTGAAAGCCTGCGCTGTTCCTGGAAGGTGTAGGGCACTGACCAGGCACCACCCAGGAGTCTAGAAGAGAAGGCTAAAGAGCTGGCAGTTGAAGGTCCCTACAAATCTTGAAAATACCTCAGTTACTCTTATCTTGGTGTCCTCAGTCTTGAAGGGGCATGAGACAGGCTGGGTAAATTTAGGGCAATGGACCTTGTAACACCAGTGTTTACACGAACGCTCCTTAAACGAATAGCATGCCTGCGAGCAAAGTCAACAAGAATCCGGCTCCAGCACACAGCCAAGGGCCAGATACAGAACGCAGGCAGAGTTGCCAGGCCACCACCCTTCCTTGAGTTACCTACTGGCATCTGCAGGCCCCAACGAAGAGTCAGTACTTTAGCAGAAACAGCTTCCAATCCTCTCTTATGCTTTCTTACTAACCTGAGTCCTCCAGTATACTCCAAAATTCTCCTTTCTTGAAGGCCCTCTGTGAGCGCCACAGGAGTACAATTCCATTAGCACTGGACCCTTTTGCCTTTCTGGCAGAAGGGACATTTGCACAAACAACCCAGTTCTAAAAAGCAAGCTGTAAATGACTCCACACTGCTTAAGCATAATAAATTTCTCACCTGATCAAAACCTACTGAATATACTTCCCAAAGCACGTTGTTAGCCCAACATTGATTCCACCACACACATGCTGATACTCGCCCAGCAAACTTGTGTGCACTATYCTGCCGGGCAACGATACCTTATTTATTTCTCTTTGCTCTTAGATGCTGAAATCTTAACGCCGTTCCCTGGTGGTGAGTCAAGGTTTTCTCCCCCCATCCTTGTGTGATGTGGCTTGGTGGGTCACGTGCTTCTAAGTGGCGGTAGACTCCAACTGCGCAAATACTGCCAAACAGGATGATTTCACTGAGGGTCCCTGTGAATTCAGCTCCTCGTAAAACTCTGTGGGCTTTGATTTGTTTTGTGTAATGAACTGAGGAAGACTGTCCTCCCCTGTGTTTCTCTTTGTCCCCTTAACTCTTTCCTATCCCTCTCAAGGCCCTGGGCCCACAGTCACCTCTTAGAAAGGTATCCCCCACACCCCATTATGGACATCCTTAAAACACAATAGACATCCTCCCTCCTTCGCCTCCCAGACTTGGTGTAGTTGCAAATCTCCACTTAATTTTAGATTAACGTGACAACCACTGCAGACTGTCAAACTAGATTCCCATCTCTTTGACAGCGAGGATCAGGCTTGTTCTCTTAAACACAGGGTCCACAGTGCTAGGCACTGTGACTCAGCATAGGCACACTAAATGCACATGGGTTCATGCAGAATATGTTCCTTCTCCTAAAATGCAATATTTTTGCATCTTCAAAAGACTGGCCACAGTTGCGACTCATGAATGGATCAGGCAGATGCTCTGGGAGAGTGGAAGTTTTCTACCGTGGCCAGTGGGGCAGGGTCTGCGATGACCGGTGGGACCTCAATGAAGCCCAAGTGGTGTGCCAGCAGCTGAGCTGCGGACCCGCCCTTGCAGCCCCCATTGAGGCACAATTTGGTGAAGGCAAAGGCGAGTTTCTGCTGGATGATGTGGACTGTACTGGAAAAGAGAGTTTTCTGGGACAGTGTCCACATGCCGGCTGGCATCTGCATAACTGTGGCCCTGGAGAAGACGCCAGTGTCATCTGCACAGGTAATGGCACCGCTGCCTCCAAAGTGCACATCTCATTATCTGGCTGCACCTTCACTACCCCAGTGGTAATCGTGCACCCATGTGGCCATGGGCCAGCCAGGGACCAGCCTACCGTGTTGTGGGCCACCAGGAGATGGTGGTTATTTTGCACTTTGATGTGAGCTCAGAAAAATATTAGCCACAAGATGTTGAAATTGATTTTATGCAGAGAAAAATAATGAAAGCAATTGAGGATTCCATTATAAGGACTAGATGTGAAAACTTCTGGTGAAAAGACAGTCTACATCAACAGGGAGGTAAATCACTAGCCGAGTGTGTTCTCCCTTTTGCCAGGACACCACAGTGAGCAAGAGATAAGGGTTTTTGTTTGTTTGTTTGTTTGTTTGTTTGTTTGTTTTCTGGTTCTGGAGGTTGGATCCAGGACCCCACACATGCTGCCTGGGAGCTCCACCACTGAGCCACATCCCCAGCCCTGAGATAAAGGCTTTTCCTCCTAAAAGTTTTCAGTCTAATAAAGGTGATAAAGGTGAAGCCTATGTAAATTAGAATAGTTCTTAGTGTGTCCTGTTGATTGTGAGCTTACACCAGTTATTGTCAGTCATGAGTCTTTGACCAAAGAATAATCATCAAGTCTGTCTTGACCAGTCTCAGCCTCAGCACTATGCACACAGGGGCCAGGGCCTCCTCTGTGGTGGGTGGGCTTTCCTGTGCATTCCTCACCTCTACCCACCAAATGACATAGTGCTCTCGTTCCAGTGGGATACCCCAAAGTGTCTTCCTACATTTCCAAATGTTCCTTTGGGGAGCAATTGCCCCCAACCCAGAACTGCTGATCTAGAGGTAACAAACACATCTCCAACAGCATGTGGCTGATTTTCAGTACAATACCATTGCTCAAGACACGCATCTGTGTGCCAACGCAGGAGAGGAAGGCGATTATTGTGTCTAGAGCAGTGAATGCGGTCACTTGCCACCATTTCCAATTTCCAATTGCATTCAACCAGAAAGACTGCTCCTACATTGATACTCAAGTAATAAATTAGCTTCTGAGTCAATGCAAACACTGGTGTGTGTGTGTGTGTGTGTGTGTGTGTGTGTGTGTGTGTGTTCGTGCTGGTTTGTTTTTCATTTAGTTTTTGTCCCCTGCTTTGATTTTTAAAATTTTAGTTGGAGTGTTGTTTAGAATTCCATCAAGGGAGCATATTCTTCAAGGTCACCTGGTTCCACTGAACTGTTTTATAGGTGAATAGGGCATTTGCCTCTTTTGGGGGGCAATTGAGTTAGCCCAGCAGATATCGTGCAGCCACAATTGGTCCAACACACACCATTAGACACACTGTGCTAATAACCATTTTTGCATTCAATGTTTAATTAAAGTCACCTGAATTAAGGCAGAGAGAGTCAACAATTTTATTTTGGAGAGTTATATTTTTCATTTCAAAATCAATTTTTAATTGAAATATTTCTAAAAATAACTACCCTTTTCTAAAGTAGATCTGTTTTTTTTTTTTCCTACCTATCAACAGAGACTGACTATATAGAGCCTACCTCAGGTGAGTTCATGCGATTGCTTTATGGGCCCACAGTTTCCATTACGTTAGCCACCCCGGCAGGCAGGGAGAAGATAATAAAGGCGTAYGTGGTGAGAAGGAGCAGATGGCCACACCAGGATGGTCATTGTTCACCATTTCTGATTTCCTGGGCCATTAAGATGATTCTACCATTAAGTCAAGAATGCTGTTGGTCATTTCCTCCCAAGTAATTAGCTTCACTTTTATTTCAGTCAGGAGAGTTCCAGCCATTCCCTAGTATTGCTATGACGCTGCTAAAAGCATAATTCCCACCACCATGTTAGGGGGAAATCGTGGTAAATTGTTYACATTTAGCCACGTTCTTTCTCGCTCTGTGGAACTCGGGTGGCAGGGGGAGGGGTGTCACCTGACTCCGGGTAGCTCSTTGCTGTCCTAACCATGACGGAATTCTCAATGCCTCTTTCTTCAGAGCATGCCGAGGAACCACTGCCAATGCCCCAAGGTAGGAAGTGTTTTATGATGGATGGCCTTTTTACATCCTTTTTCTGTACAAATTTTCCCTTTGGTTTAAAACCAAAAGGGATGATGATGATGATGATGATGATGATGATGATTGAACCAAAATTGGAAGGGAGAATGTATTACATATTTTGTACATAATGACTTCGGTTTCCTGGTGTATTAGAAAGCCAGTGAGTCCTGCAGTTAGTAGCCCACTGGGGACATGTTCAAGACAGGCCTGAGTACCAGCCAAGGCCAAGCTTTGGGGTGAGGGAAAAATGAAAGACTTGGCAGTAAAAGGCCAGAATTTGAGTTTCATTTCTGCCACTTATTGAGTGTGACCACAGGCAAGTCATTATGCTCTTTTTTAAAGATGGAGGTAAAAACACCACTTYACAGAGGCCCATCTGGGTTGAATGAGATCACAGATGTGGAAGGATGACAAGAGTCAAACTTATTGATGTTTTTATCTTCCAGGTATTGACCTGATACCTTTACTGCATAGCTACTAGTTGTTTAATTCTCTAATTCAGGGTACAGAAAACCTCTTCCGTCAAAAGCCACATAATAAATAGTTTGGGCGCAGGGGTTAGCTGGTGCATGGCTTTGGGCAGACCCTTTGGGCATGATAGCAGCCATAACAATTCATAAACTCATGGGCTTGTCTGTGTTCCGTAAGATTTCCCTACAAAGATGGGCACTGAGTTACCCTTGAACCACAGGCCGTAATGTCCTGACCTCAACCCTTGTGAATTAATTCTAAACACTTGGCCTGCATGGCTTTTAAAATTTTCACAAGACCCTGGTGGAGTAGGCACTTTTATAATCCCCCTTTCACGGATGAYAAAATGGAATCTCACACACACAMAAAAATCCACCTGCTTGCCCCAAACCGTGCAGAGAGCCTGGATGCAGCTGGTCTGCTACATGCTGGGTACCCTCATGCTTACAGACCTGATGCTAAAGAAGAGCAGATYCCTCCTGTTCAGTCAGTGTCTCAAGCCAGAAGAAACGAGAGCCAGCCTGGTTCCTCCTCCTCCCTCACTCCACACCACCAATGCGTCAGGAAATTCTCTGTCCCTACTTTCTCAATAGACGCTAACCCCTTAGCATCTCCCCACCCCACGTCACTGCCRTCACCCAAAGCCCGCTCATCCTTCATCTGGATGATGGCAACGATTTTCTAAATGGTCATTCTGTTCTAGACCTGGCTGGTGAACTGTAAATCAGATCATCCGCCCTCACTCAAACCCTGTCCATTGTGTTTAGAGCGGTGTCCAACCAGTGACACCGTCCTCCTGTGACCTGATCCTGTGCATGTACATCTCTGACCTCTGGGTCAGAGGTGTGACCTCGTCTTGCACAGGGCCTTCCTCTGATCTTTTTTCCAGCCTTTGAAAAAAAGCACTTTGCCTTGGGCCCGTGTAGGGGCTCTTCCCTCTGTTCAAAATGTGTATCTTCCCTCCCAGATTTTTTTCTTGCAGCGGGGGAGTGGGGTGGGGGGGTGCTCCTCTTCATCAAGTCTCAGCTAAAATGCCCCTCCCTCAGAGAGGGTTCCCTGAGGGTGCAGCCAGCCCTTTCCCTGTCCGGTCACCGGCGGACTGGTCACCCTGCTGGTTTTCTCTTCCGCCTGCCCCTGGCTTTGTATTTTCCTTGGTTCCCTGGCTCATCCCGGATGCCCTTGGCCTTCTCTCCAGGGTGTGGGTTGACTGAGAGCAGGAACCATGCAGAGCTTTTCAGCTCAGAGCCCAGGGCAGTGCTTGGTATTTAATGTGTTTGAAGTACAAATTTACTGAATTTAAAAGTAGACATTTGTACAGTGTGGCTGTTGGAAACAATGTACTAGTCATCAAAGACTCAGTGGTCCTCCTTCACAAAGGCYGACGCTTCCTTCGGGAAGATGGTGCTCACCAGCAAGGAGGGTTCATTATACTGTAGGGTGTGGGGGGGTTCCCTCCCTTCAAATTCTAGTAGTTAGCAAAGGGTTTTGTTGGTCAGTTGGTCATTTTTCTGCTTATTTCCCTTTCATTTATGCACTCACTACTCTTATATAACTATCATATGTGATAACACATTATATGCAACATAATTATAATAATATACATACTTATGATGGTTCGACATGATCTTTTTACTTTGCTATTGTACAAAAGTAATATGCATTGGATAGAGACTGCTTTGAATTTTGAATTTGATCTTTCCCTGGTGAGCTGCAGCTCCCAGTCCCACTGGGATCACAAGGGGGAAGCACCGGGCACTTTCAATAAATCTTTAATATGACACGGTAGAGTGTACTGAGTGGCTAACTACGAAGCTCAATAGATTAGGTGTATTAAGGGCATTATATTTTGAACTTGATGTTTTCCATACTTCTTGCCCTTGTGATTGCACACAATGGTGGGATCTGTCTTTACATATCCACACCTGCACACCACAGAACCATGATTTGGCCCCTACTGTTCCCCGGTATTTCCCCTTTGCCTCCTCTTTCCCCTCCCTCTGGTCCCTTTTCTCTACTGTACCATCATCCTTTGATTTTCATGAGATACCCTCCCCAGACACATCTTTCTTTGCCATTTTCCTCTCTAGCCTCCACATGACCCTTGACCTGAGTTTGGCATATTTTGCTGAACATGATGGTCTCTAGTTCCATCCATTTTCCTACAAATGACATGATTTCATTTTTCTYTATGGTTGACTAAAACTCCATGGGAATGTATACCTCATTTTCTTCAGCCATTCTTTTGTTGGTGGACGTCTAGGCCGGTTCCACAGTCTGGTCATTGTGTTCCTATGGAGGGTAGCTTGTTCTCAGCTGCCTGCATTCCAGCTGCCTGCTGGTATCGTGTGTTCAGGTTTTATCCCTACAGTGTCTTCAAATCAATCAACTCAGCAAATATTTTTGAGAGCTTGTTAAGTTCAGAGCCGTGTTTCAGCAGGAATTGACTGTATTTTACATTTTGTATTTTAAACCTGTCATATTAAAGATTTATTGAAAGCCATTATGTAGATAAAGTAAAAGTTAACTTATGTTTCAATTAATTTGCACCAATAGGTGATGGAAATTCAGCAACTGTATTATCAGGTAAGAGAAATATTTTTTTGTGCTGTTTTCCCTGTGGATGTGTCTGTTTCACCATSGAAATACAGAAAGGAGAAGAAAGAGTGGCTGTAGAACACTTTYACTGAATGACTCATCAGAACCTCCCTCTTATAATTAGGAATTATGTCCAGGGCATCATTCTGGTAGAGTCACTAATGTCCTTCAAAAACATAAAGATGATAGCTTTTAGGCAGGTGGATAGGTAAATCAGTAAAGCAATATGGGTTGAGTCCTTTCTTTCAATATAATTGCAGGAAAGATTTCCCACGACTCCTGGTTTAGGTTATTCTTAAAATGTTTCCATTCCATTAATTATATCCATCAGGAAGAATGCAGGATTAGAAAGATGAAGGGAATATTGGATTTATCACTTATTTACYATTCTTAGTATCTTTTCAAAGACATGATTTAAATTGTTGAAYAGAATTAACTATCAACTGTAAAAAATAGAGATAACAATACTTGTTTAAAAAATACTGGAAATTATTCGGAACATAAGTTTTATAATTATCTTTAAGCATGCATGTAACCAACTRCTCTGAGAAACTCTCTCATTTTTTATAAATGACACATTTTAATTTGTCTCCAAAGGAACAATTATTTGATTGCATTTATGTTTGATTATTGGATGAGCTTTCCGTCGCTGCTAGAACAAATTGCCAAAACTCCATAGTTAAACAACACATGCTTTATTGTCTTGTTCTAGATATCAGAAATCCAAAATGGGTCTTGCAATGAGCAAGTTGTCGCTGACTGTGCTCATTATGGAATCTCTGGAAAAGGAGGAGTCATTCCCTGACTTTTCCAGTTTTTACCAGCCCTTACATTCCTTGGCAAAATCTTTCATCATCAAAGCCAGAATCTTAGTGCCTTCTAATCTCTCTCTCCTGCCTCCCCTTCTGAAGGGCCTTGTTACATTAAGCCCCCTGGGTAATCAGGATCATCTTCCCAGTTTAAGGCACTGATGAGCAGCCTTATTTCATCTGTAACCGAAATGCCCTTTGTCCTGTAACCTGGTGTATTCACAGCTTCTGGGATTAGGATGTGGACATGCTTGGGGGAGGGGTGACATTTTGCTTACCACATTTTTATATGGAAAATAGTCTCGTAGTTGRTATGGCTCAGAAATGGACACATCACTAAAGTCACACATTGAAATATGATGGCCCAAACAGCAAGCAGAGAGAAGAAAGGTGTGGGACAATACCGCCAGCTAACCGAGCTGGCGACCGGAGCTGGGTTCACAAGAGCTGGCTGCACCAATAACTTAAGAAAACAGTGAAGGAAGCACTCAACACACAGAAATACCTTTTGCTTATAGGAATCAGGGACGGCTCTCGACCTTGAGGGTCTGCTGGAAAGAAAGAGGWGCCACCTGAAAATCCTCTATTTATTGGGGAGAACGTTCAACCCAAATAAGGCAAGGGATTGGGTTTYGGGAGTGTAAGTAACTCCCATGGCCAGATATGACATGGGGACAGTCTGGAGCACAGGAGAGAAGGCGAGCGCCTGCCAACATTGCACCACCTACAAACCCCGGGTTGCCTTCACACAGTGCCCTACCTACCAACTGTACTCCTCCCACAACTGTGCACCATGTACAAAATAGTGCAATAACCATAATCAGTTCGACACTTACAGACGGTGCCACATCCGTAAAAGAGTGAAACACCTACAACAATTCAACACTTAGAAACTGGTGCAACACCTACAAACTGGAACAGCAATTGCAAATAGTACTACACCTACAAACAGAGCAACACCTACTAATCAGAAACGTCAGTGATGCCACAGGCACAGAAGTCAAATAAGCAGAACAAGCAGATAGAARGGTCAGGGGACCCTGAAGGCCAGGCCATCGGGCTGACAGTCAGGGAGAATACTAATACCCAAAGCACATGATCCTTACCACAAAGCACTGAACACCTGCCCTTGGATTCCATGTCTGGCAGAGAAGGGATGGAGAATACTGAGTCCAGTGGCTAAGAGGTGGCTTGGCATTTCCATTGCTTATGTGTGGTCACTTTGGAGTGGAGACAAACTACATCTAGTGAAGTCACCGGGAGCCCTGGGAGCCACACCTCCCTCCAGTGGCTGTAAGCAGTAACTTACTGTTAACAGGTGTTTCTTTCTTCCAGTTCTACCTGTTGCCCTCTCAACGCAGCTTCCTCCTCTAACTGCTGCAAGTCCAACATCACCAGGTAGGACCCTCCCACCCTGCCATTTCCATTTCTACCATAGCTCCTCAGTTGCAGGTAGTGGTTTTGCCACCGTCACTAGGTACCAGTAGTGCTTCATTCAAGATTGGGTGACTTGAGAAAAAAGGGATGAGATGATCTGCATTTCACTGTCCAGATTCGCCTTGTATTTGATTATCTATAATTTTACAGTCAAAGAACATGGTAACTCAAGGTTTCTCCTTTCACATGCTTTCTCAAATGCAAAGGGTAAGAAGAAAAGAGGTTGGTGTATATGTAGAAAAAGGGAATTGACTTAGTTATTTTGAACTTAAGAAATAAAGTAGAGCCTCCACCTAATGTCTAGGAAACGTCCAACAGGGTAAGATTTAGTTATTTTCCCAAACAGGTGAGTCACRTGGAGAAGGCACAGTCCTCCCTGGTCACGGTGAGCAGTGGTCACCATTACAGTCCATGTTCACTTTATCCTTGTGCTAGTTAATGCTATCTCCACTCCTCCCCCATCTGTAACAGCTGACATTTCAATTAAACCATTGTATAATCCACGGTCTGACCACGCCAATGACAATCTTCAGTAAGCCTGCTGCCTGCAGCATTCATGTGGCTTCTGAGCACAAGTGGGAAAGGAGATGTGCTGCGTGGGTCAGATACACACGGTATCTTTCGAATTCTGAGGGCAATGGGCAGCTGCTACTCAATGGCGTGAAGCTTCAGCCATGCAAGATGCATAAGTGTTAGAAATCTGCGGTCAATAGTGCCCATAGCCTATCTATCTCCTGCACTTAGAGATTTGCTAAGGGGGTCTATCCCAGTAAGTGTTCTTACTACATAGACAGAAGAAATACATGGAAACCTGGAGAAGGGTATGTGTATTTCCTTGATTATGGTGACGGCACCACATTTATATACCTGTGTCCAGATCCAACAAATTGTGTACATTAAACATCTGTAGGGTTTTGGTATATCAATTACACCTCAGTATGGTTGTTAAAAAAACTTAGAACTATAAAAAGAATGTGAAATTGTTCATTGACATTTTTATATTGATTACAGATTGAAATGATAATTTTTTGGTATATTGAATTAAGATGTATTATCAAAACTAATTTCATTTGTTTTTTTTTCCCTTTTTAAAAGGTAGTTACCAAAAAATTTTAAGCTACATACAAAACTCTGGCTTAATTTCCATTMAAAACCTTCTTGTTATGCCACTATAATCACTGTGTTAAATGCAGTGTGTTGATTTCTTATCTAATTCTTCCAACAGCAGATGAGGGTAATCTCCATTTCCAAATAGACAGAATCCTGCTCAACTAGGTTGGGTATTGTCCCTAAGGTTGATGGACAATAACACAAACCATGGGACATGAGAGTCCTASAGCCCAGTCGCTAAAGTTTCCTAAACTCCCTGAGCCACGTTAAAATCCTGTGACCCACTGAGCAGGTGACGAGGCGCGTTCCCTATTCAGAAACCAAGAGGACCCACGTGTGTCGAGGAGAGCTGAGCGGGCGGTTGTGTGGCCGGAGCCTGCGTTTCCCTTTCTCACTCTTGCACTTCCTTCTCCCAGACGCTTGTGTGGTTGCATAGAAGGTGGCACAGCTCTGAGCTGCCCTCACTTTTAACTCTTGTTCCTGTCTCAGACAGTCACATAGGATCCGTCGTTTCCCCAAAGACCGTTGTCAGCTTCTTGCGGCAGAATCCAGATCTTTCTCACCTTTGACTTTGTCCTCAGCCCTAGACACACACACACACACACACACACACACACACACACACCAGGCACACGGCATCTCAAGAACAGTGTCTGTGTGTCTGCTCCCTGCGGGGTATTCAATGCTTATTAAATGAATAATCGCACAGATGCGAATCCACCTAGCACACATGGCGGAGAGCCTGCAGCGCCGTCTGCGCTAAGCAAGGGGTCTTCGGCCCCCTGGTGCGTCCTGTGCACTGGGCTTCTGCTCCCGGGCTGCAGAGTGCGTGAAGAGACGTGGCGCTGCTGCTCCTCCCACTGGTCCCCCAGACGAGCAGTCACCAGCCTGCTTTCTCCCTCTGTGTTTTTACCTATTCTGGATGTTTCATAAATCTGGAATCAATATGTGACGGTGCTTTGACACCTGGCACGTTTTCACAGCTGCTGGTTCCTTTTAAAGTTCTCCATTTTGCTTGTAAAGAGGGAATCGAACTCTCCTGGGGACGTGAGGCCCATGAAGAGGGCCCTCGTCTTTCTCTTCGATCCTGAATTCCAGGAGCCACTTTCCTCGTGTTCTTTCTCAACAGCTGTGTCAACCGCCACCGTCCCAGAAGATGTGGACCACCCAGCCACGTCATCAGGTAGGTCAGTGAGCTACGAGTTCCCCAAAGCTGGTGTGATGCATTGTCAATGCCACATGCAGCAGGTCAAGCCCCTAAAAGGAAGAGCTGATTCTCACTGCCAAGGGATCAGGGAGAACGTGTGACACCCAGTGTCACCTGCAGCTCCAGACTTTGACCCAGGAGGCGAGYGTGCCACCTGTCCTGCTCATCACTGTATCCTTGGCACCTGCCACAGCACTGGGCACATTCTAGGCACTGAACAAATGACATGTGTGCACTGGGCATGTGACTCCTCTCAGAGCAGCTTTGCTCTTGGCCAAAGATATCGAAGATGCCTGCACTTGAGAGCCACAGGCTTCGCTCGGAGCAATGCCAGTAGCCCCATCTGTACGACTCTGTCTCCTCAGAGGAAAGTGTGGGTATTTCACACATGAGCAAACTAACAAAGCCAGATGCCTCTGACAAATATATACTTTTTATGTTTCCCTCTGAGCAGACAATGGAAAGCTGCCAACTGTCTTATCAGGTGAGAGCAGCGACCCCATGGTGGGTCTTGTTGTGGCTCAGCCTCATCATCCAGGTGGATATGCAGGCAAATGGATCACTGGGCTGTACAACATCCTCTGGGGGCTCATCAAGGACAATCAGCTTCCTTGTGAATGTTATGAATTTTACAACTTCTGCCCAATTCCTTTTTTTTTTTTTTTGGTACTGGAGATTGGACTCAGAGGCATTCAATCACTGAGCTGCATCCCCACCCTATTTTGTATTTTATTTTGAGACAGGGTCTCTCTGAGTTGCTTTGTGCCTCACCATTGCTGAGGCTGGCTTTGAACTCATGATAGTCCTGCCTCACCCTCCCGAGCTGTTGGGATTACAGAAGTGTGCCACCATGCCCGGCTACTTCTGCCAAATTCTTCAGTGACTTATCTTGCTACTGCCAAGCACCCTCTTGCAGAACCTATTGCTAATGCAGGGCTAACGGGGTGAAGGCATCGAGCAGCAGGTTCTGGCTTGGGAGCTCTCTGTCAGYTCCCTGACCTTAGCTCCAGCTCATCAGAAATCTGGCCAGTGCAGATATTTGGGTTAAGGTGTGGCCCAGGGGGCTCTTCCCCAGCTGCTAGTTGAGTCCTTTTCTGATGTGTCCTGTGTCTGTCTCAGGAAAGGGACTTTGGTCCTTACTAACCGCCATTTCCACATCATTCCAGTTCTACCTGTGGCCGACCCAGCCCCTGCCGATCGCAGAGCCTATATACCAGCGCTAGGTCCCCCAGGTAAGCAGCCTTCCCCAGGGACCAGCCACTGCTCTTGTGAACTACAGAGAGGGGTCATAACCAGGAAGGAGGCCACTGAGGGTGCAGGGAGAGCTCCGTAGGGAGGGGAGGAGGGCCACCAACCTCCAGACCTGGGCTGATGAGTTGGTCCTACCCACAGCTTTGGCATCTGCTCATCTCTGCATTCCTGCTACACCAGGGAAACATCAAAAAACACAAAAATAAGAGCAGGTAACCATAGCGCCCTTACCTAACAGGACCAAAGCTTACATTTTGTCCTGCTGGTTTTCCATTCSTATCAAGAAAGGAAACGATACAAACTCCCCCAGGGCTGGGGATGCATGTCATGGTAGGTGCTTGTCCAGCATGTTCAAGGCCCAGGTTCTATTCCAGCCCTGAAAACGTAACAATTTTTAMAGATTAAAAAAGGTACTTTGGATTAGGCAGAGGGGAGTGAAGGGAGGGGAGAGGGTAGGAGGGTAGACGGGTTAGAGAATGAATCAGAGATTATTACCCTATGTGCATATATGATTAYACAACCAGTGTGATTCACATCATGTACAACCAGACGAATGAGAAGTTCTACTCCATTTATGGATGATGTGTCAAAATGCATTCTGTTGTCATGTATAACTGATTGGAACAAATAAAACAATTTAAAAAAATATGGAACTCYCAATACCTCCAATCTGCCTCTCCTCTCTCCTTCCTCATAGACAAATGCTGTCTTGCATTTTGCATATATCCTTCTTTTTAAAATCTCACAAATATGAATTAATGCTTTCCATACACGTTATTTTGTGTTTTTTCTTTCACACAAATTATATTAGTCTCTCTATATCATGCATTATATTTTTTAGGTCAATCCTTTTTGTTGTGTGGTGTGTGTGTGTGTGTGTGTGTGTGTATGTGAGAGAGAGAGAGAGAGAGAGAGAGAGAGAGAGAGACTGCTTTTGACTGCTCCAGAATATTTCATTTTTTTGGAATATACCATTTAATTTAATTCATTGAATAGAAAAAACATTTTCCTAAATGTTCCTGTCCCCCCGGCTGACATCAAGTTGCGAAGCCCCATGCAGGAGAAGATGCTGTCTGCCACTTGATCTGCTTTGTTTAGTGACTGACAGCACCTTGTGTTGTGGCGTGATTGTCAAATCTTCTGTCTGGCCGTGGCCTGCTCACCTAGGATGACTGAAGGGCTCAYCTTGATTTGTAAGCCAAGCAAACAGGGCGAGTTCAAAAGGTAAGTTTCCAACACTTCCTCTTATTTTCGTCTCCACAGAAGACTGGCCTAAGCTGAGGCTGGTTAACGGCACAGGAAGATGCTCTGGACGGGTAGAGGTTTCCTACCAGGGCACCTGGGGGACGGTCTGTGACGAAGGCTGGGGCTTGCCGGAAGCGCAGGTGGTGTGCAGACAGCTTGGGTGTGGCCAGGCCGTATCTGCCCCTCTCGGCTCCCATTTTGGCCCAGGCTTTGGAAAGATCCTGCTGGACAATGTGCGCTGCGTTGGCACGGAGAGCCGCCTGGCCCAGTGCGCCCACAACAGCTGGTTCACGCACGACTGTGGCCATGAGAAGGACGCCGGGGCCATCTGCTCTGGTGAGGACTTTTTCCTTCTAGATAGTTCGTGGGCAGAACGGGTTCGTGACTTTTTCTGGGAGGACCCCTCCCCTCTCCCCACACTAGCAGGTCTAGATCAAAGGGCAGGCCCCTCCCTCCAGGGCAGACTTTCCCCTGGGTCCTGTCCCACGTCTGTCTAGCACTGAGTATCTGTGTGGTGGAAAGGGGGGGGGATGAGCCCGTGGGGTGGAGCTTGAAGCGGCTGCAGAGAAGATGGGTGGTCCACCCCCACCTGAAGCCTAGAGGTGAGTCCCCAACAGGTAGACTCAGAACCCAGCTCAGCACGGAGCTTGCTGTCTGCGGGGGCCTCCTTCTCAAGACACCTGTTAATCCTGGCCTGAATGCCCCTCCTGGGCAGCTGCCCCGGGTAGATCCTGGGCACAACTGGGGTGAGGCTCCTCAGAAAGCTCCACACTGAAGGTGACATCAGTGAAGAGGACGTGGGGGACTCTAGCTCTCAGTCCCCAGTCCCCAGGCACAGAACCTTCCCCAAGCAGAATGCGGTCACCAGGCAGCTGCCAGCAAGACTGGCCKGTGGTCATTCAGGGACTGTGACGGAGAGTCCTCGCTCAGGGTACACTCTGTGGTGACTAAGCCCATCACCCGTCACTAAGCACCTATTTGAGGGAAGGTGGCCATCTATTTTCCAGAGTGGTTAGGTCAGAAAGCCAGCCCTCTGGTGCCTGTAGAAGTGGACCCTTCCTAACTGACAAAGGAATGGCAGCAGGTGAAGAGTTCAGACGGGTGGCTGCAGAGGAGCTCTGCCCCTCGGGAATACCGTGGGTCATTTCAGCCCTTCTTTCGTATCCTGCAGCGGGTTTTGAACCTGTGTTTTGCACCAAAGTCACCTACRGGTTTATTGAAACAGACTGCCGGGCCCACCCCTCAGGGGTTGGAGTCAGTGCTTCTGGATGGGGTACGGGAATTTGCACTTCTGACAAGTCTAAGATGCTTATGGGCTGGTCCAGGGACCACTCTGAGAATCGCTGTCATGAAGCATGATTTAAGAGGAACATTTTTATCCTAATAAATAGACGCAGAATTAGCAC